AGATGTAATTGAGCTAAGAAAATTGAGATGACATCATCTGGAATCTCCTGGTGGGCCCCAAATCCAATGACCCGTATCCTGATAAGAGAAGAGAAGACGCAGACACAGAGGGTGAGGTGAGGCGAAGATGGAGTCAGAGGTTGAAGTAATGTGTCCATGAGTCGAGGAAGCAAAGAACGCAGAAAGCCCCCAGAGCTGGGAGAGGCAGGAAGGCGCCTCCCCTGGAGCCTTTGAAGGAAGCATAGCCCAGTGACACCTTGACCTTGGGAAACATAGTAAGTTATCGGGGAAGGACTCCTTCTAAACATAATCCGACTATTCTCCTGTCACGCTCAAGGTTCATAATTCCTTCATTTCATTGAGTGTTCAGCGTTCTAATTCCCCCACATCTCATGAAGGTTTCCGTACAGTGGGTTTGATAGGATCAGGCCCAAGGGAGGCCCACACACTGCATTTGGTGACAGGAATAAACATATTTGGAAGACGTGGGGGAATGGGCACAGATGTCAAGCAGGTGGGAGTGTGGGGGAATTGGGAGGAACTCCCAAAGCCCAGAGTTGCACCCTTAGGTCACCAAGGTGGGCATGGAGCTATGCGTGGAGCTCTCACCATAGGTGAGGGAGCCCTGGGGACCCCACAGGGCCCTGCCCAACACCAGAAGCTCACAGGGCAGTGGGGGAGGCAGTGGCCTTTAGGTTCCTGAGAGGTTCATGGGGCTCAGTGGGGGCCTGGAGGAGAGCCCATCTCCCACTGGGAAGCTTGAGGGCAGGAGCTGAGGGTGTCCAGGGGGAAGGAGCTGGCCAGGCAGTGCTGGCATACGTGCCCAGGTAGGAAGGCAGGAGGCCCTGCCTAGCCCAGGCGTGTGATGGGGCTGGAGGGTGGTGGGAGGAGGATGTGAAGAGGCCGCCCTACTGGAGATGGCAGTCACTGAAGGAGTTCAAGAAGCGGGTGAGACTCAGATCTGCACTTTAGGAAACACTCTGGCTGTGAGCAGAGAACAGACTAGAGGGAAGTGAAGCCTCAGGCAGGAGCCCTGGGTGTGTCTGCTCCCTGCCCCACCCCCCACTGTGGGGACCCTCACACTCAGGCCAGGAGAACTCAGTGTGCCAAAGCCCACAGTTTCGGGGAGAGTCTTACTCATTGGCCCTGGGGGTGGCCAAGCTGGAAATCACTCCCAACCCAGGCCCTCGGGCCAAGAACAATGACTTTGTACACATTCCTTTATCTGTAATTCAAACACAGAATCTGACATCTATATTCGAATTGTCATTAGCTGAAGCAGGGGGATGGGTACATTGGATGGGCGTCATACAATATTTAGGACATACTTCTAGTAAAAAAATTATTTACTATTTGTCTGAAATTCACATTTCATCAGGTGTGCTCTGTTTTGTCTGTGACCCGATATAAAAATATTCCAGAACTCCGCTTGCACCTTCCTGACATCAGCTCCTGCTCTGCTCACAGCAGAGTTTCTCATCTGCCTCCGTCCTTGCATCCAATTCATGAAAACCTCACAGTAAGTTTCATCAAAAAGCCATGCCCCACTGACAGGCAGAGAGAGTCCAAATGTGCTGAAACTTTTTGTTTTATTGTTCAATTTGCCAACCTTGAAAAGAAACTTATTAACCAATTGTTTTGTGATAAGAGGATGACTTGGCAGTTTTCTTCTAATCTAGCACAAACTCTTAGCTCCTGAACTCTGTAGGAGTGGCTTTTCCTCCACTGCACCCGTCTCAGAGGGAGGAGTTATTCCATTATAAAAGCAGCCTGGCAACTCATGAGGGGCTGGCATTGAGTTGCTGAGCCAAGCAGGAGACAGACTTTAAGAAGGTAAGTGCTGATTTTATGGATCTTCATACCCTGCCTCACATCCTCACATGTAGGTCACCAGAAAAATACTTTAAAATGTGTCCTTAGCACAAGAGAAATCTGTTTTAGACTCACATCATGCTTAGGGGTCAGTTCAAGTTTGTTTATTCAATTGCAGTTGGATCATCTTTATAGAAATGGGAAAATGAAGAATGTAGAAAATCGGGCTTCAGAATTTAGATATGAGAAAAATAGTGATAGGAGGAGAAAAAAGAATGATACCGTTTTAGGCAATCTGAGAATATGGCCCATGCAAGAGAGAGTGTGGGTGTTTATGCTGAAGTTACTTTCTCTACAGAAGGAGTCGACACACAGCAGTTGTGAACTGTAATAGTGTAGCGCTAAGGAGGCTGTGACAATTCAGTATTTAAATTTTTTGTAGTAGGAATAAATTGTTCTGAAGGTCAGCAGAACTAGATTCTAACTAAGTCTCTGCTGGGATTAGCTTGCTGGCAAGTCTCAGCCTCTCTCTGGGGTTCAACCAACTCATGGCAAACCCTAAAAATAGATGGAGCAGGGTGTCTCAATCTCGGCACTGTTGGCATTTTGCACTGGGAAACTTGTGGGAGCTGTACTGTCCATCACCGTATTTTTTTTTGTTAAAAAATATTTATCATACCAATGTACATTTAATTAGCTTAAGGAATATACTTGAGAATAGTGTTAACAAATATATTTCCTCAAATTGTAAACTTCACACCTTTAAGATATCTACAAAGATAGTTTGTTTACAAGTTTTACAAGAAATCAATCCTCTAGTCTGCCTTTTGCTTTTCAGTTCAGTTGCTTGTAGAAAAACACAGCGTGAGGGTCAGGTTCCAACCTAGTGCTCGTGGCAGCCGCCAAGTTAAATGAGAGGTACACATGGACAGAGAAGAATTAGTCTATTGTTCAGAAATGTATTTTCCGAAAACCTTATTCTGGGAAGATGACACAGATATGAGCCAACAGCAATCCACCACGAGGTAGTTCCAACTCAATATCCAACAGTGTGTCTGTTAGGATGACATGGTGGGTGACAAACGGGCTGGGTAAAATGCAGAAGGACTGAGGGTGAATAAGAAGCTCTCAGGTGCACATCAAGGCATCGCCCCACTCCACATCACAGGCATCTCTGCTCTCGATCCAATGGATGTAGCAACCCTCCCTCCCAGCTTTGACAACCAAAAATGTTTCCAGAGGTTGCTAAGTATCCTCTGGGGTGGGAGGGACAACATCACCCCCAGTTAAGAGTCCCTGGATGACATGACCTCGCAAATTCCCCAACTCAGGAAGTCTCAATGGGAAAACTATAATCACAGGGGCACAGACTGAGTTCTTCAAAAGCACCTGAATGGAGAAGTCATTCACATCAGACTGTAAGAGTCAACCATGCTCTAAGTATTAATATTGGCGGAAAAAAGAAAGTTCTCACACAGGAGAGACAGAAGTTTCAGGGAGATGATGTGAAAGTCCTGGAGCAGTTCGAACACAACAGAACCCACGGGGAAAGCTCTAGGACCTATGGGAGAAGGTACTGCAATGACAATGAGGAAAAGAACCAGGCCAGATGCTCTGGAGAGCAAGTGTGACAGGGGGAGGCGGGGCCTCCTGTGCAGGGGAGGAAGGCAGCCCCGTGGGGAGAGAGGAGGGAGCTGGGACTGGATGCTGCCCAGGAGGAGGGAGCGCCCTGCGCAGACTCAGCAGCCCCTCAGCTGTGTCCCCTGGCAGCCTCCTCACCTTGCTCTGACTTGCTTGGCTGTGAGACTCATGATTCTTGGGCGCGAACCACCCAAAGTGAAGTCCCTGCTGGGCCCTTTGTGCCACAAACCTGCTTTACTGACTAGACTTAAACCCCTTTAGGTCAGGGACCAGATCAGGCTCAATATTGTCCCCGACGAGCCCTCATTTCTTAGCACATGAAACTGCTCGGAGAGTGTTGGTTGAAGAAGTTTGAACGAAATTTTTTAAATAACGAAATACATCTACATGTATACCAGGAACAAGTGTCAGAAAAGGATCAGTGGAATGTGTGCATTTCCAGGTAAGGAAGAGGACGCTGGAGAGACATGATCATTTCATCAAGTGTAGACAGGGAGACCTGCCCGAGTGCTGAGAACAGCTGGAGAGACAAGCAGTGGGTCCCCCATTCCAATGGCTGGAACCCATGCGCAGGGGACCTGGGCACAGGACAGAGTCCAGAGTGCCTGGATCAGGGAGCAAGAGGCAGCGGGGCTGGCCTGGGGAGAGAGGCACGTGGGGTGCAGGGTCCAGGGGAGAACCAGATATCTGCCGCTTCTGGGGCTATGCAAGGCCATGTTTCATGACGTGCCAGAGCCCCGAATCTTCGCCAAAAACTTCCTGCAATCCAGGTTAAGTAATCAGTGAAGATCACTAATCTTTCCACATGAGCTAAATACAAAGAGCCTTTAAATGACATTTGAAAGATCTCTGGAGAAATGTATATATACACATACATATAGTATGACTAATCTTATTCCTACTGGAGCTCTATGGATCAAGAGATAGATAGATACACCGATAGAGAGAGAAGAAGACAGACTGACACATAGATAGAGAAGGATGACACATGTACTCCCTAGTATGTTCAACTCACTCATCTCCCAGGACCTGGGAGCAGGAGGGAAGTTGCATTTGCTGATCCCTATGACGAACTTTTCTGTACATTATCTCATTTAACTTTCTCCACAGCCCTCAAAAGTTGAGAGAACTCTATTTTATGAGGAGAAAATTGTGGTGCAGAGATGAAACAACCTGCCAGGGTCTCTGTTCCTTGTGAGGAAAGGAGCTGGGCTTTGGCTCCAGTCTCCCTTCTCTCTGCTAAGAAGCGCTGTAATCAGGACCACCCCAGCATGGCTCCTTTAGTTTACCCCTGGAATTATCATGCACACATGCATTTGAGGAACATAAGCCCTCCCCCCTATTAAGGTTAATGTAGTTATTCTAGTCCTCAGCTTACTCACAGTAGAGTTTTAGGATGTCAAAGTAAAGCAAGGCACACTTTTATCAATCTTTCTTCTTATCAGGCAGCTGACAGAGAGGAACTCACGAATTCCGTGTTTCCCTCTCTCCCTCCCCTCAACCCTCAGTTGGTGATGGATTCCGAATGGGAAAACCAAACAGGAGTCTCAGAGAGACGCCTAGAGAGAGCCTCAGGCTCACCCGGGGGAGTGAAACCTGAAATCACTTGGCCTGACATCCCAGGACGAATGTTTGAGCCCAGGGAAGCTGCTGTGTGTCTGTGAACTCCAGTTTCCTCATCTTTAATATGGGACATTAGAAGCTATCTCCTGGGTGGTTGTCGAGGGCAGACACACTTGCTGGACATCGAGTGTCAATCAGGAACATATGTGTGTGACCTTTGGCAATTCATCGACTCTCTCTCGTCCTCATTTCCTGTTGACCAGCAAAGCTTTAGGATATGATGAGCTTTGCCCCAGTCTTGACCAGGCCTTTGGGAACCTCCTAGTGGGGGGTGAGGAAAGTTGCCTGAAGGAAGAGAAGTATGATAAAATATTATCTAAGGTAAGTGTTCCTTTTCCTTCATAACTTGATCCTCAGTCACAGGGAAGGGAACTGAGTGTGAGGTGTGAACCACTTGGCTCACTGAACCTCAGGCCACAGCAAACACACCTCCCACCATAGTGCCAGCTTTAGTCTCCTGCTCATTCTGCTCCTCATAGCACCTCCATTTCCCATGATAGGAAAGTACAAACTCCACTATGTCCAATTACGAGACAGATGAGTTGATTAAGTATGTTTCCAAACGAGTTTTTACTTCCTAAGGGTTAGACTATTGAGACCTCATTAAAGATGTGGATACTGAAAACATTTTGATATCTAAGGTTCAAGTCACACGCACTTTCTCAGAGAAATATCCACTGGTAAAGAGAAGCATATTTTTGTCCCAAACTCCAGAACAGTACAATTTTGCAAGAAGAATACTAATGTTTTCTAAAGAGAGCCTAGGATTTGGAGAGAAAATGCAACTGTTCCTCCCTAAGTCCTGGCTTTGGGACTCCTGCTTGTAACGAGTCCTGCGTGCTTCCGCTCACACCCATGAGAGAACCAGCCATGTCCACTGTTGGTGCCACTGGGCGTTAGTCTCTGGTCCCCTGCTGTGTCGACTACCCATGCAGCCTGGGATGGAACAAGGGCTTTCAGAGTTTGCTGACTGGACACAACCAGTGTCTCTCTTACCATCACAATGACCAAATGAGTGTGCACACATCCACGCATGCAACACACTTATGACTGAAGCTAAAACTCCTGAAATGATCCTCACCTCGTCTGCATGTGGTGCACTTGGATAGTTTCCATTGTCTCCTATCGCGTTTTAAAAATTAGTGGATTTCACAATCTACTGAAGGATTTGCATGCATATTTTGAAAAACACTAATACGGAAAATCTGTCCTAGTCTTTGGTTTCACATAGAAGTGGGTTTGAATCCCAGTTCCACCACCTACATTGGGAAAGTTACTCTAGAAACCTCTGTCTCCCCAGCTGTAAAATGAGAGTAATAACAGAGTCCACTCAGCTGATTTCTGTAGGATTAAATGAAGATAAATTTGTGAGCGTCCATTGTATGACAGACAGTGAACAAATGTTAGTTCCACTCCATGTACCGTAAGGTTGATGCAGTAACATCCTTTTTCCGAGATTATAAGTAGAGGTAGAATGTAGAATTGCATAAAAAGGAAGGAATCAGGGGCCAGCCCGGTGGCGCAGCTGTTGAGTTCGCATGTTCCGCTTCGCGGGCCCAGGGTTAGCTGGTTGTCATCCTGGGTGTGGACATGGCACCTCCTGGCAAGTCATGCTGTGGTAGGCGTCCCATATATAAAGTAGAGGAAGGTGGGCGTGGATGTTAGCTCAGGGCCAGTCTTCCTCAGCAAAAACAGGAAGGATTGGCAGCAGATATTAGCTCAGGGCTATCTTCCTCAAAAAAAAAAAAAATAAAGGGAAGGAATCAGCATCCTGCATCTGTGGAAAGGATTAGGATCTTTGGAGCTACAGCTAACTGACTCTGAGCCCTAACTCCAGCTCTGGAACAAATGTAGCCTTAACTCTGCTCCCTCTGCCTCCTCGCTGTCAGGGGAGTCCTCTGGTTCAAGGCCCTCACAGGCTCCCAGGGCCTGCGTCTGTGTGGGTTCCAGCCCTGTCCTCCCTTTAGTCCTGGGCTGGATTTCCACATCCATCACTAGCTGGGGTGTGACTGTGGGATCCTCGTTTAACGGCTGAGCCTCGGTCTCATTAACTGACAAATGGGGATAATGACAACTATTTCATGGGGCTGTTATGAAGATTAAAGATATAACGCAGCCAAAGGGGTCAGCACTCGGTCAGGATCGTCAGGAGGAGGTTTTCAATAAATATTAGCTCTCTAATCCCTCCCCCTCCCCGGACACCCACACACCCATCCTTACCACAGACTCTCACCTGTTAGGCTGCCAAGACACCAGACTTCACCCAGTGGAGACCGCAGAGTGGTTTGCTGCAATTTCCTGGGCTTGGCCCCTGAGGTTGAGAATTTGGGCAACAGAAAACATTCCACGGACTCTTCCAACTTTGTCAGGAAGCAGGCAGACCCTTCTTCGCCATTGTTGGTGCTGTTAACCTAATAACTTAAAGTGCATTTTTGCTTCCTTGGTTTCAATCATTGCTTCATTCATTCAGGTGTAGAGAACCCAGGAGACCGCATCATGGCAGGGAAGCCCAGGCTGCACTACTTCAACGCACGAGGCCGGATGGAGTCGATCCGGTGGCTCCTGGCTGCAGCCGGAGTCGAGGTCAGTTCTGAACTCGGTCATATTAAGTCACATCTGAGATTGAGCATCAAAGTCCTTTCTCACATGAGCTAGGAGACTATTCTCACTCAATGACCTGTCAAGAGTTTTGCATTAAAAGAAAAATCCTGTGGGGCTGGCCCCGTGGCCGAGTGGTTAAGTTCGCGCGCTCCGCTGCAGGCGGCCCAGTGTTTCGTTGGTTCGAATCCTGGGCGTGGACATGGTACTGCTCATCAAACCACGCTGAGGCAGCGTCCCACATGCCACAACTAGAAGGACCCACAACGAAGAATATACAACTATGTACCGGGGGGCTTTGGGGAGAAAGAGGAAAAAAAAAAAAATCTTTAAAAAAAAAAAAAAAAAAAAAAAAAGAAAAATCCTGTTAAGAGAGGAACAGATTTGACCTAATACAGTATTATCTTTCTTGTCACCAAAGAGCATAAACAATTAAAATAAAGTTAAGAAACTAATCACAATGTGTGGCCTTATTTGGATTTGGATTTAAACAAAGTGTAAAGTATCATTTATGTCATTCATGCAAAAATTAGAAACATGAATGTGATTGCATGTTACACAAAATTAAAGAGTTATTGTTAAAGTTTTAGGTGTGATAGTGTACTCTGGTTATTTCGAAGTAATTCTTATGTTTTAGAGATACACATTGAAGTACTTAAAGATGAAATGTATGATATTTCTGATTTGTTTCAAATTATTGTAAGAGACAGAGTGTGGTGGGCACATAGACGACATGAGACTGGCTTGAGTTGATAGTTATTGAAGCTGGGTGAAGGGTACAAGGAGGATCTTGGTACTTTTATATTTATTTTGGTACATGTGAGAACTTACCATAATAAAAGGACAAAAATATATAATATCAGAATATAGTATGATTAAAGTTCAGACATAACCACAAATGTGGGGAGGAGAGGATTGCAAGACACCAACTGTGAAAGGTGCAGTACATTCACTCAGCAGTGATTTTCGTGAGCACCTTTTTTTTTTAAGATTTTATTTTTCCTTTTTCTCCCCAAAGCCCCCTGGTACATAGTTGTGTATTTTTTTTAGTTGTGGGTCCTTCTAGTTGTGGCATGTGGAGTGCTGCCTCAGTGGGGCTTGATGATCTGTGACAAGTCCGTGCCCAGGTTTTGAACCGGCAAAACCCTGGGCCACAGAAGCAGAGTGCCCCGAATGTAACCACTCAGCCACAGGGCTGGCCCCATGTTGAGCACCTTTAAGTGCCAGGTGCTGTGCTAGGTCCTGGGGATACACAGATGAACAAGAAGTCATGGGCCCTGTCCTCAAGCAGTTTACATTCCAGAGAGGATGCACACTAATAAGGAGGTGATTAAAAAGAGAGGAGGGAGCATCTGGGAGGACACCCAAGCATTTACAGTGTCAAAATGCTATAGTCCCTGTGGAAAGGTGGTAGTTTCTTCTGGCACTCTGTTGCGTGCTGCCCTCTAGAGGTGTCACTGAGAAACACACTTCCCAGTCCAGATCTAGGCACCAGCAACTCAGGGAGGGTTTTCCCGGGGAGGAGTCGTGGACAGACTCAGGAGATCTCCTGCCTCAGGTGGGAGCAGAAAAGGAGGGCTCCAGGTGAGGTGGCGTCCTGTGACAGGGACTTCTAGTGGCCTGCCTTCTGCCTGATAACGACATGAAGCCGTGGGATTACACTTCTCAATTGCTGCATGGATGCATGGGACTTTAGCCTGGACCTCTCTCAATTTCACAAAGAAACAAGTACACAAAACATCCAAATAGTGACCTTCCAGGTCATTTTCTCTCTATAAATCCATAACCCGTTTTCCCTGTATCCCAGCTTCAGCTGTGGGGTTCAGGGATGTGTTGAGAGCCCCTGTGCAGGATGAGTTCAGCACAGGAGGGTGAGGTAGGGGAGATGCTGAGCGCATCCCAGACTTCCTCTTCTCCATCAGCTTGACTGAAGAGGGGGTGCGGCAGGACTTACCAGAGGCTCTTGGTCAGGGCTTCTGGGTTCTCTGTGCCCAAAGGCTGGTCCTCACCATCCCATCCGTCTCCGTTAGCCTCACAAACACCATCTCACCAGCCAACCCATCCCACCTCGGCCGCCCTCCCTTGATGACCAGCCACCATCCCTTATGTTTGTGTGGAACTGGGTGCTTTAGAAGTTGCTGCGCCCCCACCTCACTATCTCTATAGTCTGACCCTGTGGAGCCATGTGGATCCACAATAAACGCTTCCACTGGACAAGTTAGAATTCCCCAGATTCCCAAGCTTTTCACCATCAAGAACCCTTTAAACCATAGCAGCCACTGCAAACAGCACTACTAGTTATACTTGGTGTGTGTGGCCCGGGTCCTGTAATCTGTATTTTAACACAACATATTACGTTTAAGAAAATGTCCTCCCTGCATTTGATAGAGGAGGAAACTGAGGCCTGGAGATGCTAAGTGACTGTGCCCCGATCACACAGCTACCATGAGGCAGACGCAAGACTGGAACCAAATCTTATCAGCACTGAGACCCATTTTCTTGACATCGGTCTCTTTTGACTTTAGATTTCATCGATTCTGCCGATTAAGTAAACCGCATGATCATATAGTTACTGATTCTCATATTTGTATTGAAACCCCACAAGCATTCAGAGCCTCTGGTCAGATGACGGCCTTGCTGCCGGCTGCCCTCCAACCAGAGAGACTTGTCTCAGGAGAAGGAGAATCTACACCAAGGTCTACGTCCTGAGTGTAGGTCAAGGACAGAATATAGGTTCACAAATGTGAGGTGGCTTTAAATTGAAAAAAAAAAAAAAATAACTGTAATGGTAAGATGAAATAGAAACCATCTTTGAAAATCCTGACAATTTATGTGTATTGAGCACCTCGTGTATACATGGTACTGTTTAAAGTTCTTTGCATACCTTACTGATTTAATCTTCACACCAACCTATAATGTAGGTAGCATAACTATACTGATTATATAGATGAGGATACTGAGACACGAGGAGATTCAGTGACGTGTCCTATGTGAAGAGGTAGCACGTGTAAGAAATGATGTTCACATCCAGCCAGTCATATCAGAAACCAAAGTTTCTTGATTAAAAAATAATTTTTGTAACTAGTTTGGGAACTCTTTTTCCTTTCTTAAATTGGGGATTCTAACCTAGTCTGTCCCAATTTTCCAGGAGAGGAAATTCTGAGTTCAAAGAGTTAAAGCTGTGCAGCAACCTGGACTCATTTTATACTAAGCAGGGCCTCGTGGGATGGAGTGATGTCAATGACAGCAGAAGCCGTCTGAGCTGGTCATGGCCCCCTGGTGTACCCTATACTGGGGGACACAAAACGTCCTGTCCTGATGTCTCCTGGAGAGATAGGCTTTCCTGAGATACTAAAACCTCATAACTAGAGGAACCTCCCAGTACCCTCCCTCCGTGACATCACCCTCCCCAACGACCAGGATCGTCCACAGAGGTGGAAACAGGGTGGAGGTGAATTGAAACCTCAAGAATGAGCTGTTACCTGCTGCCACCCATGCTCTTTTCTTGGTGGCTCTAATCTAAATTTCCAGTCACCCTGATCACACTCCCCTGTGTACTCTGACAAGCTCAGAAATCTTCCTTCTCCTTGTTATGTGCTGGACAGGGGACACTCAAATTTAAAACTTCTAAAACGCTGTGGAATGAAAGAACAGGAACTCACTACCTCTTTCTGCTTTCCAGTTTGAAGAGAAACTTATACAGACTCCAGAGGACTTGGAAAAACTAAAAAATGGTAGGTCCAAGTATCTAAATTCCTCATTTGAGAGGATCTAGTCAAAGTCATGTGTTGACTATTGAACCCCAGGCAATGCCTATTTGTGTGTACGCTGGAAGTTGGAGGCCAAAGAAAGGGTAGAAGCAGTTCAAATGTACGGGGTGGGGCTCCCTGAGCCGCTTTGGTAAGTCCCTCAGGACCAGAAAGGGCTGAAACTCTCTGAGTATTTGCTACAGGACCATCCCCGGTGTCCCATGGATCCCTCTCTTTGCTTTCTCCTGCTTTTCTGCACCACGACTGAGCTGTATCAGCTCAGGATCCCACAGCCTCCCAGAAAGGACATCAAACATATGCAATAGAGTGAAAGAGGAGAAACAGGCCCAGCAGTTGCCTAGAATTCTCTCCCTGATGGGTTGGACGAGGTGAAATCCTAGCTGTATTATAGACACAGATCACAAGATGGTGTTGAGAGAGTTGGAACACCAGGTAAGTGAGTGAGGAGGGAGAGAAAGAGGGAGGCCAGCAGAACTGGGTGGAGAAAACAGGGGCCCCCACCACACACTATCCAATGGTGGAATTTGAAGCGCATACAAATCACCCTCCGTAGAAATCTCCCTTGCTATGGCCTAATGCCGGCAGCACCATAGACTTGTTCTCGGGACTTCCCAACTGAAACGGCAAATGGCTGGTGGTCCTGTTGCAGCTTCTCCCAACTTCTTCCTCAAATATCCATGATGAGAAATCGAATATGAAAAATACAGGGACCTACCAAGTATCTGGATGGAGAATAAAAACAGAAATGAAATAGATTAAAAAGCGAAGGGAGGATTGATAAGAAAAAGGATTGTAGGAAGCTCACAACAAATGCTCTTCTGTTAAAGTGTTACCCAGTAATTTTAGTTTCGTTTTATATCTCTAGCCATTTCAACAAACAGTTTTTCATCCTCGAAGAATGAGATCCATAAAGCATTTCACTCTACTTTTCCCTTTCTTCTTTTGAAAGATGGAAGTTTGATGTTCCAGCAAGTGCCAATGGTCGAAATTGATGGGATGAAGATGGTGCAGAGCAGAGCCATTCTCAACTACATCGCCGCCAAATACAACCTCTATGGGAAAGACATCAAGGAGAGAGCCCTGTACGGTATTTTTCCTGCTCTTTCATCAACAATTAATAGGAACAATTTAGGCCCTTCCTTGAGGGACCAAGACCGTGTCAGGGGGATCAGGACTACCAGCAACGTGGCCATGGTAGTGTAGACTGAGGTCGAGTACAGCAGAGACCTCAGAGGATGAGGGACAGGAAACCTGAAGTGGACCTAAGCCAGTGGGATTATAGAAGAGGATGCCGCCCATGGAGAGGGCACAGTGACAGAGGTCTGCAAACCCTGATGAAATGAGAAGGCAGGAGGATGGTGGAGTCATGACTCCAGGTGCTCAGGCCTTTAGGAGCTGGGCACCAGCCCACAGCTAGAGATGAAGGGCAAACTGTCTGAGGGTCTAGACGATAAGGGTGGGGAATGAAGGACCCAAAGGAGCTGCTTCTCATCTACCAGAATTTACCAGAATGATGACTAGGAGCCTACCCTATTACCGAGTGATATGGACAGACTCTGTGACAAGTGTTAGCAGAGGCTGAGCCCAAGATTCCAGGGTTACATCGAGCATTTTTATATAGGACTGAAGCAGCAGATATATTCAATACAACCATATCTTTGGGGTCTGCTCCCTGTTGTGATGGGACCACTTGATTAAAATTAAAACTGTGTAAGGAACCGTGGCAGTTATTGAAAAGTTAAGCATAGAGTTACCAAATGACTCAGCAATTCCACTAGTAGGTAGATACCCAAGAGAATCGAAAATCCATCCACACTAAAACTGGTACACAAATGTTCGTAACAGTGTTTTGAACATTGAATATTATGAATATTCATAATATTCAAATAGTGGAAACGGTGCAGATGTCCATCAAGTGATGAACAGATGAACAGAGGGTGTTCTATCCATACCATGGAATATTATTTGTCCATGGAAAGCAATGAAGTCCTGAGGCATGCAACAACACAAATGAACCTTGACACGTTGTGTTACATAAAGGAAACAAGACACAAATGGCACATATTGTAGGATTCCATTTTATGAAATGTCCGGAACATTCATCCACAGAAACAGAAAGTAGTTGAGTGATCGCCTAGGCCTGGAGGGAGACAAGAGTGTTGAATGCCTGCGAAAGCACACAGCAGTTCATTCGGGAGGAATTAGAGTGTGGTGATGGTCAGAATTCTGTGACATTACTAAAAATCACCAAATTGTACACTTGAAAAGGATGACATTATTTTAGGTGAATTAGACATCAATAAAACTTTTATTTTAAAAAAAGCCTCTCATAGGAAACCGTGTTTGGAATAATAATAATAAAAAAATAACCTAGCATATGCATGGTGGGAAGTCTATAACATATTGCACCATTTCAGGGGATGTACGTGGGTTCTCGAGAAATGCAAACATGGTCAGCGCTGGGCAGAGTACCTGAGGAGGGCTGTGGAACCATGTTCTATGGAAATCATTGGAGGGACTGCTAACATTGGGCACTATGTGGGTCTGGGTGGTGTAACAGGATGAGAGGGAGAGGGACATGGCTGAGACTGCTGTGACAGGGACTCCTTGTGGAGGTGACTCAGGTGGCAGATCTTTAGGGACATGTGTCACACTGAGTTTGTGCACAGAAGGAGAGCTGGCAAACCCTAGCTAGAGTCTCAGTGGTCACTTGCAGTGATTCCACCAATGTCTCTCATGCCTGTGACTTGGGGCAGGTCACTGATGCTCTTGGTCCTTATATTTGGTCATGTGTATAATAGACATATCTACCTCGAGAGCTTGTTCTAGAATGAAATGTGCACTTTAAATAAAACTCATAAGTGAATGACTGGCCTATAAAAATGCACCCAGTGCACCTGAATTCCTTTGCCACCTCCTGATGCCCCATTCTTTTACATTTTTCAACTATAAAATCTAAGACAGGACACACTTGACACTTTGGTCATTTTTGTCTTGCAGGATTGACATGTATATAGAAGGTGTGGCAGATTTGATTGAAATGATCATGTATTTGCCCATGACCCCACGTGATGAAAAAGATGCCAAGATTACCCAGATCAAAGACAGAACAATAAATCGTTACTTGCCTGCATTTGAAAAAGTAAGTGCACTATTCAGTGTGTTTGGGGCACTGGGAATAGAGAAAAAAGGAGAAGAGTGCTGGGCATTCCTGGGACAAGGACCTTCTCTGCCAGTCAGCCCTCCTGGATCCTGGTTAATGGAGCATCCTGACTCTCAAGGGATTGTGTAAAAATCCACTTTGAGGAAGAATTGTACCAGTTTTACCCGTTATAATTTTTAGCAAAATTTCAATTTACTAGGACCCAATGTAGAATTCTCCATTCAATGGAATTCATGGTCATGGAGCTTGGGCTGTGGAAGGCTCTGGGAGCCACCCAGAGACTGGAGTAGATCCTGCAGAACACCAGACAGGGGCTTTTGCTCCAGGAGGAACACGATGAAAGACACATATCAGAAAATAGTCTGATACCATGAGTAGGGAGACCTGAGACCAGCTGTCCATCAGGGGAATGTTGTAGAGTTTCAGGGAATGGATGAGATGTATCTAAACAGAGATGGGGGCAGTGGGATAGAGAGGAAGTGACAAATGAAATGATGTTAAGAGGAAAGAATCTACAAATTTAGGGGACATGGCTCTTCGATTTTTATAAAAGTCGTACAAAACTAAGGAAATAAGTTCCATCATTATACGTAGTACTCGTCTTAGTTAATGTCTCTCCTTGATGGTAAAGGAGAACATTTGAAGATCAGAGCTACCTGAAATCGTGCTAAATGAAAATCAGGAACCAAAAACTGATTACAAAAGATACAGGAGGCTTACATATAAATAAAAGGATTAACACCGACACCCTCATCATTATAAAGCATCAAATCACTCTTTCATTCAGTCAACAGATGTGCACTCAGTGCTACTGTGTCAGCTCCTGTTCACAGAGGGAAGAGTTTAATAGCAATCAGAAAATCCGCTCTCCTGGCTCTGTGGTGCTGAGAGTTCAGCACGTTCACCTGGTGACAAGCTCCTCCGTCACGGCAGTTTGAGGACAACTGTCCTCTGAGGTCAAAGAGCCATGTGATGACATAACTGAAAGATGCACATTACAATACGGCACGTGATGCTTCGTTATAGTCTTCATTTTTTATCCATACTTCTATATGCATACATAGTCTGAAGGGATATTTGCCACAACGTTATGATCTTTAGTTGGTGGTGTCATGTGTGTCTTTTCTCTTTTTTCTCTGTAATTTCCACATTGCTGCAATATGTATATATATATATTATTTTTTTTTTTTTTTGAGGAAGATTAGCCCTGAGCTAACTACTGCCAATCCTCCTCTTTTTGCTGAGGAAGACTGGCCCTGAGCTAACATCCATGTCCATCTTCTTCTACTTTGTACGTGGGACGCCTACCACAGCATGGCTTGCCAAGCGGTGCCATGTCTGCACCCAGGATCCGAAATGGCGAACCCCGGGCCACCGAAGCAGAATGTGCGAGCCTAACCACTGTGCCTCCGGGCCAGCCCCTGCTGCAATGTTTTTAATATCACATATTTAGTCCAAACTTTTACTACGAAAAATTCAAAGATACATAAAAGTTGAAAGACATGTACAATGAACTCATGAATACCCTTCACCTAGACTCAAAAATGAACCTTTTATTATATTTGCTTCATCATATATGTCCCCATCCTTCCATCCTTCAAGAAAGCATAGTATTTTTTGTTGCATTTTAAAGTAAGTTGTCATCATTGCTAGTATGTTAGGTCCTAATTGAGGAGCAGAGAATTTAATGCTAATCAGAAAATCCACTCTTCTGGTCGTTGCGGTGCTGAGAGTTTAGGCACATTCACATGATGACAAACTCTTCAGTCACTGCAGTTTGAGGACATATATACTCTCAAATCAAAGAGCTGGAGATAACATAACTGAAAGATGCTGACAGCCCTAGACATTTCAGAATGCAAATTAGAACGTATTCCACCACTGTTATTGACAGACACAAGTGGAGTAGAAGTCAGAGCCAGTGTTGTAAGGGGATGGTGAGTTCAAGGTGACCCAACTTTATTTCAGGTCCCAGAGAGATAGACCAGGAAATGAGGAGAGCAGATGGGAGGAGAAAGGTAGACTCTGAAATAGTCTGCTGAGGACTGAGGAAGGATGTCATGAAGGTGGAGTGTTTGCCCAAGGGAGAGAGGAAAAAGAAAAGTGTGGAGAAAGAGGGAGAGAGACAGGCAGACAGACAGATGAAGAGCCACATCCTGAAGTTTCAGGGCTGCACAGTGTAGGGTGTGGGGCCAACAGGAACATGGCACAGAGGTGCTAAGCCCTTGGTCCAGCAGAAGGTACAAGTAGGGAGCCCCAGTGATGTGGGAAGGGGAAAAGGAAATGGTGGCCTGTGCTTCAACTGCGGAGTGAGGGAAGAACAGCAGAGCCCACGCCTCCCTCTGTGTCAGTGATTCAGGGCCGGTGGAGAAGGACTGAAGCTCCACATCCACCCAGTGAGGCAGCAGAGGTGGGAGAGCGGGCTGGAGAGAGCTGGGAGGAGCAGGGGGCCCAGCCTGCCTGTGCCTGTGTTCATGATCCGATTCCTCCAATTTGCCAGGTGTTAAAGAGCCACGGACAAGACTACCTGGTTGGAAACAAGCTGAGCAGGGCTGACATCCACCTGGTGGAACTTCTCTACTATGTCGAAGAGGTTGACCCCAGCCTTCTGGCCAACTTCCCTCTGCTGAAGGTGATCTCTTTCACAGCCCTCAGGACAGAAGGCCCACGCCTCCCATCTTGGAATCTAATATTTGGCCTTTTGGGTCCCCATTATTCTCCAGGCCTTTGCTGCCCTTCAGTCTCCAAATTAGCTAGGCCCTAGTCTGAGATATGAAAAGAATCTTGTTATTCCAAGGAAATTTGAGTGGATACTGCCCAAGAATAGTTTATCTTTAAAATAGAGGGACCCAGCATCAGCTCCTCTCTCCCAGGCCTCCGTTCCATTCCGGATTCTGTCCTCTTTTCTCTGTGATTCCCTTGACCCGGGAGTGTCCTTCTCCTTCCACACCCAAGTCTGTGAGCAGCTGTCCTCCCCTCGGCTCCTGCTCCTCCTTCCACCCATTGTGTTTCTCTCCGCACAGTCTCCCCTCTCTCCTCGTCTCTCTGTCAGTGGGCAAATTGGTTTTGACGGGCCTCATGGTTTACCTTTTATATTTCCTGTCTTCAGGTCCTGCCCCCTTTCCTATATCTTTGCTTTTCCTCACTGGAGACTTCATTTGTGCTGATATCTGACACACACATTACTCTTTCTTGCGTTGCAAAGAGCCATGAATCCACAGGATGGGTGTGTAGGGAAGAAGACAGGGAAGAAAATGCACTTGAGCTGGATTTTCTTCTCTTATCCTCATGGCTCACGGGGTGTCTGTTCCCAGCCTCATGCTGGTGCCGTTGGAGGAGACTCAGGTGTCCTCGTCTAGGAGGGTCTCAGATTCCCTGGCTTGTGCTAATGATGGGTTTGGTCTTTGGCCCTACCCTGAGGCTGTGCTTTTGTGCATTGCAGGCCCTAAAAACCAGAATCAGCAACCTGCCCACCGTGAAGAAGTTTCTGCAGCCTGGCAGCGCAAGGAAGCCTCTACTGGATGAGAAAGCTATAGAAGAAGCAAGGAAGGTTTTCAAGTTTTGATAAAGCAGGCCTGGCCCCCAGCAAAGGCAGGACCAATCTTCTGAAATTTTCCAACAGTGACGTGCTTGACCTACATGTAGATCCTGGCTATTGTGAGACTAATGAACTAATCCTTCATTTAAATGCTAATTTAATTAGAAATCAGCCATGCAGATTTATTTGCAAAGCAATCTATTTTGTGTCGATCATATATGAAATTATGATTTCCTCTTAGGATGTCTCTTGGATCTAAAAATAGATGTGATGAGAAAAAGTTTCATGGACTCTTTGATCTATTCGAAAAATTGACGCATAACAGCTATCATATACGTCATCAAAAACAGTAAAGCAGAAATTTTCATCTATATTCTCAGTTACACAAAAATTACCTTTTCTTTTTGTACTTTGCTGTCTTTCTCACCCACAACCTAAAAATGTATCTCTATCTCTTTTTTTCCTGAGAGAAACACTTTTCTTCAGGTAATCAACGTTTTTTTCTGTTCAATTATGGAAGTAATATTTCTTTACATGTAATATGTAATATTCAATGTTCCAGGAGCTGAGAAATAATGACGAACCAGCCACATATATTCTCTGTCCTCATGGGGTTCACTCTAGTGAGAGAAAGGAAAAAATAGGTCATCCTAATCCAAAATCATGCGTACCTTGTCCATCAATTTCCTAGGGTTGCTGCAACAAATGACCGCAAATTTAGCGGCTTAAAACACTGGAAATTGATTTTCTCACTGTTCTGGGGGCTCTTGGTGTGAACTCAAGGTTGAGCAGGACCACGCTCTCTCTGAAGCCTCAGGAAAGGATCCATCCTCACCTCTTCTGGGTCCTCAGCCTTGGCATTTCTTGGCTTGTAGATGCAAAAGTCCAATCTCTGCCTCCGTTGTCATATGACGTGCTTCCCCTGCGTGTGTCTCTACCCAAGTTCCTTCTTCTGATACAGATATCGGTAATTGGGTTTGAGCCCACCCTAGTACCGTATGACCTCCTCTTAACTTGATGACATCTGCAAAGACCCTATTTGTAAATAAAGTCACAGTCATTGGTACCCACGGTCAGGACTTTAGCATATCCTCTCTTAGGAGATTTGAGTTAAGCTATAGCACCACGTGAGGGGATGAGATAAGGCCGGGCATACACTAACGAGTATGCCTTTGCTGGAATCTGTGGGTCAGTCATGGTTTCTCAAGGAGGGGAGTCAGGGCTGCCGCGAGCCCTGAAGGAGAGACAAGTTGCAGGTAGGAAAGTGGGCGGAACCTTGGTCGGGCAGCAGGGATGGAACCCAGGCAGGAGGTCAGCAGGGTGAATGGCCTAGGGAGAGAGACTGAACGCGGTGTGTTTGAGGAAAGAGGAGTCAGTGGGTCTGAGTGGAGCATTGGCCATAAGGTGGGGAGGAGCACCGAGGAGGTGAGATCAGAGAACAGGGCCCAGAGTCCTCAGGACTTTGAAGACCATGGCAAGGAGTGTGGATTCTGTCCTAAGGAAAATAGGAAGCCACTGAAGTGTAGCCATACACCTGCTTTAGCAGCCTGATATACAACAGGACAAAATCACATCTCTTAAATATTCATTTTAAGTCACTCAAGTATCCATCTCAGAGCAGCAAGAACATTCTCCTCCCAGGAGTCTCCTTCCCGTGTTAAATCCAACAACCAAGGGCTGACTCCATTCAACAGGTCACATAGCCCTGAGACCGATGGAAAATCCCTGGTCCTCTCCTGCTGTCCCTAGTCTTTGCTGTCGCTTCAGTGGGAGAAAAGCCCAACTAGAGGGGGCTGAGGAGCAAACGGGAGGGGAGAAGCAGAGAGAGCAGACACTCACAGTCCTCTTGAAAGTTTTGCTTCAAAAAGGACAGATGAATGAGACAGTAAACTTCATCTGAGTTCTAGAAAAGCAAGGAAAGATTACGTAGGTTGGGCCCAGATGCATCTGCAATTATGGGAAGTCACCTAAGAACGGCCAAGGCTGTGTACAACAGCCAGAGGTTTCTAAAGGCCCTTCAGTTTTTAGTCACCAGGGAGGTCCCGCTGCTCCAGAAAGGGCGCCATCCGTGCTCAGCCAGGGCGTAACTTCTTCTCAGACTAACTCCCTGGAGTAGGGTGGGCCTCTTCAGTTCAGACAAAACGTTGCTGAAACAGGGAAAGTACTTTTTCTTGTAAATCTTAAATCCACGTTGCAGTAAATTGCCAAAAGAACAACTAAAAACTGCTGAGTGACAGGCTGAGGCAGGAAGTTCTCCGCACTTCCCCTGAACACCTTCCAGTTTCTTTCACGTCTTTTTCCTTATGCTCTCATCTCTTCACCTCCATCCATCAGTCCCTCTTTGCAGCTTCCTCTTCCATTGTCCCTTTCTGTGACATAAATGGAGGGATGCATCCACAAGCCAAGCAATGCCGTCAGCCAGCAGAAGCCAGGAGAGAGGCGTGGAACGGATGCTTCCTCAGAGCCTCCAGAAGGAACCAACCGGGTCAAGCCTTGATTTGAGACCTCAGGCCTCCAGAACTGTGAGAGAATAAATTTCTGTGGTTTAAGGCACCCGGGTTGTGGTCATTTGTTACAGCGGCCACGGGAAACTCATACAACCACTTTGCAATAAACAGGAATGAATACATTCAACAACATAATCATGCTGAGTGGCAGAAACCAGACAAAAAAGAGCACTTCTTGTATGGTTGTATTTATACGAAATTCTAGAAAATGCAAACTAGTTCATAGTGACAAGAAGCAGATGGGTGAGATGGGAGGGGCAGGAGGAAGGGGTTCCAACAGGGCTTGAGGACACGGCACATTCACTATATTGATTGTGGTGGGACTTTCACAGGTGTATACATATGTCACAACACATCCAGTTGTATTAAACTATGTGCACTTTATTATGTGTCAATTATACCCCAAATACAGTAATAAAACTAATGCAGGTGAATAAACTCCACAACTTCATCTCGTAGATAGTCTTTTGGCACAGTTCCTCTGCCCGCCATGCTGTCTTGCCTGCCTCTCTCTTCTCTACCATGTGTCCTAATAATTACAAACAGACTTAGGTCTCTCCTGTCCTAACCCCCGTAGTCACCTTCACCCCCACCCTTCAAAAGACCCCACAAACCCAGTCTTTCTTTATCCCCAACTGGTTTTCACTTTCACTCTTTCCCGTCACTTTCAAAACAGTAGTCCACACCCAGGCTCCTGGTCCTCTCTTCGAAGTCCTGAACTTTTGTTTCTTAACCAGTTAACGATTTGCCATAATGATCCTATTAGTTCAAAGGTCTTTGCTCAGTTCCATCTTCTTTGACCTCTTACTGCAAATCCAAGCCCAGCCTCCTTTTCCATCAGCAACTTTCTGCCAGAGACCCCCCTCCCACAAACCCCCTGCTCATGCTGTCGGGTGCCTCCCTTTTCTGAATTTGGTGATTGATACCCTTTTCTTGCCAGCATGTGGTCACACTCATCCCCACCCATCCCGCTTCATTTCAAAGGGTGAGAATTTTCACAAAGTGAATAACAAACTGTCAATGACAACCCTCCCTCCTCCACAGCCCAGGCCTGTGAAGAATGCTCTGAAAAGCTTCCAGAATCTGACACTGGGCGGTGAATGCACCGTTTGGCAGGGCACATGGCTGAGCCTCAAGAGTGGCGTGATCGCTCTCCCCCTCTCTGGCCTCCCCTCCTTCTTACACTGAACTGCTCTCCCCACCGCCCTCTCAGGCTAGCAGTGTCTTCTCCGTCATGAAGCCTTCACTGTGAACTCAACAGACACTGGGCCTTCCCACAAGGGGTCCTTCTAGAAATGCTGCTTTTTTCTGTTCTGTTCCCGTGTCCTCAGGTCATAGTTTCCTTGCCCTAACCCTGGGAAGGATGTGGAAGAGGGTGGTGGTGGTCAGCAGTCTTGGAGAGCGTCTCCTACACAGCGGGACGGTGGCTGCTGGGCATTGTAGGTGGAGGCTGGGCCCCCGCACCTGAGTTGGGGATGCACTGAAGCTGATTAAATTCTGTTATTATACCCTCCTGACCCCTTGATTCTACCTCAAGACCTAGCCATATTTTTTGTGACGTTGCCCTAAATACTGGTTGTTCTAGTACTGTGTGAGAAAACAAGGAAGGAAGAATCAAGCCTCAAAACTTGGCAGCCATCTTAACCTCAATACATGGAATTTCCTCTCTATTGTCAAGGAGTGGCAGGGGTTGGAATTTGCCCAGGGTCACACAGCTGTTCAATGATAGAATCAGCCTAGAGGCCAGGTCTCCTGAAATGCAGGCCAAAGCTTTTCCTATTTATTCACTGATTCAGGAACTATTTTATGAGTCCTAATATATGAAGTGTTACCCTGGGTGCAGACACGCCATGCTGAAAAAGATGAACAAAGGCCTTTGACCTCAAGGAATTGACATCTTACTGAGAGGAGAAAGGCCACAAACAAACAAACAAAAACAAATCTCACAATCATAGTCTGTGAAGAAACGTAAACAGGGACTATAACAGAGTAGATGGGGGAGGGGAGGGGAGGGCTTACTTTATTTTTTTTGGTTTTTTCCTGGTTTATTGAGGTACAGTTGACAAATAAAATTGTAAGGTATTTAAAGTGTACAATACAATGGTTAATATACATTTACATTGTAAAACATTGAGGTAACACATCCATCACCTCTTGTATTTACTTTCTTTTTTTTGGTGAGAACATTTCAGTTCGACCCTCTTGGCTGGCCTCAATTGTACAACACAGTGTCATCAACTACAGTCACCATGTTATACATTAGATCCTCAGACCTTGTTTATCTTACAGCTGAAAGTCTGGACCCTTTTTCCAACAAGAGCTCCCATTTAGATGGTGAGGGAAGGCCACTCTGGGGAGGCGACATAGAAGATGAGATATAAAACGTGAGAAGAAACCAGGCAGACAAGGAGATGGGCAAGAGGGTTCCAGACAAGGACACAGCATTTTCAAAGCCTTAAAGTGGGAAAGTGCTCAGGGTCTTTGTGTACCCCAAGCCAGAGGAGGTCTGGCTGGAGGGTGGGGGATGGCAGTGTGGCCTGTGAAGGGGGAGG